ATCAGATTGCAGTATTGGAGGTCAATTATTTTTCATATTAACCTAGCTCGTAAAAATATAAACCTATCTCGTTAAATAATTAATTGATTGGCAGTTTGGTGCTCTACGCTTATGCTCTTATTAATCCATTTGTCAAGTTTGGTTGATTCTTTACTGGCCTAGCCTGTTAGATATGTTGTATGTATGTCAACTGTGGTCTTATTATCAGCAGCTGGTAGTTGTTTTTCAAGTGTCATGGTAGAAGTTAGTTATACACCTCGGTATCGGTTTCTATGGTATTTATTAACCTCGCGACTGCGTCGCTCGGTTAATAAATACCATAGAAACCTCTACCTCGGTGTATAACCTATACATACGGTATCTACCCACACATTATAATTGGCCACCATTTTGGTTGGCAAGTTTATTATGGAAGTCAATGGAGGCACGAAGAAAATGCCTCACTTACCTGCTGTAGCTCTATAAATAGCTAAAAAGCGCTTGTTATAAGAAAGAACAGCTGCCTATAAGCTTCTCCTGTCAAGGATTTGGTCAAATTTGCTCCAGAATTCTTAATACAGGTTTGTTTTTATGCCGGCCCGTTTGTTCTCCATTGAAAGTTGCCAACCAAAATGGCGGCCGAAATTTATTTCATCCTAAACTACGCCTTAAAACCGTAAAAATTTCTAATAATCTTCCTACGCATTCGATTCTCGCCTAGGGTGGTCTATTATTAGTCGCTGGTTAAATTAGGGTTTTTAAGTACACTTGCAAGTCACAATTAATACACACCCTAAGCCTAAGGTAATTAATATAATGATACTAATAATACACTCACCACTGATGTATCAGTAAATTCAAATACATATACATCATTACTGAATCTATGACTATCATAACCACCAAACAATATAGCAGTGGTATTAGTTATTGATGTTAAAGTGAAGGTGTTAATAGGAGGTGGTCTGTCTCCAGTGACAGTTGGTGAAGTCCATTCACCTAAAAATAATAAAAATAATATAAACACACACACACACACACACTGCCCTCAAGTGGTTCCTGGGCTCAAATAGACACCCTCCATTGGCATACATATATCTACTACCCTCCATTAAATAACACATTATGATAAAATGGTGGAACACTACTAGTCACGTACACTATGGCTACCTTTGCTCAAGTTAATCAAGTCTACCTTATATTGTATAGACTGTGTGGTAGCTCTTTATGGCAGATACCAGACCCTTGACCTTGGTTTCAGCTGTGGGTCTGCTATCTGCCATAAACAGTCTAAATACATCAATTTAATTACTGTATATAAACTACATTTATAAACCTAGTATCATATTATACTGACCAGTTTTTAATCTGTACAAGTGTATTTCATTGCAACGTTGATTACCAAATGCATTTTTACTGTACTGGGCACCAGGTTGTGGTGGGTTATTATTAGAAGATGATCCACACCCTCCAATTACTGCAAGATAGTCCTCATCTTTCACTTTTATTGCTATCATGCTGGAGTAGCACTTCATCATAGGACCATGATGAGATGTAGTAGGAGAGAGTTCCTTCCAATTAAAGGTATCAACATTAAAACTGTATAAAATATTATATAATATTTATCAGTAACTATTATGTTTACCTGTATAAACTATTATGAAAACAGTCACTATGACCACAATCTCCTCCAAAAAAGAATATTTCATTTCTAATGACAGCAGCAGCATATCCATTGACACCAAGTGGAGGGTCACCAGTGGTAGGCTTTTGTACCCACTCACCAGTTGGTAGGTGACAGACCTCCACTACAGAACACATTGATTTCTTCTTCTCGTTATTGTGTACTTCAGGGAGATCAGGCTGGCCCCCACCCCACATGTACAGGTAGTCTCCTACCTCAACTGTAGAGTGACCGTACCTCTCCACTGGTTGATAGACTATAGATAACAAGAGGACACAGTAATATAGTGAATAGTTATAATAAACAGAGGATACAGAGGAGTAAAGTAAGGGAGAGAATAAGAAAGAAAGAGATATAAAGAGAAGAGACAGATACTGACTTGTCTCATTTCTTTTCCAAGACATTTTCAGCTACCCTCACGCCTATACCGTATCTACTCTTATTAAAAATTGGTATCAAAATAAATTTCCAATCATTCATTTTCTATTTTCAGCATTTTTTTGTTCATTATTTCAAAATTATTATTGTAAAGATACCAAATATTCACACTAAATATGGAAAATTATATTAAACTAAAAAGTTAACAATAAAGCAGCATATCACGCCTAATAATAATAATAATAATAATAATTAATAATAATAATTAATAATAATAATAAATAATA